TCTATAGTCTGGTGAGGTAAGGACCCTACTGGAAATAAGTGCTTACACTTTCGTAGGTTATCCTTGATCGCACAGTCTAAAGAAAATCAATCAATCAATCAATCAGCACTTTTTGAGTAATCACAATTTTTGTTAAATTTGCCATATTTTAAGCCTATTTGTTGCCATAGTAACCAAATTTTTCAACATAGGAAGAACAGAAGACGTGCATAATTTCCATACTACCATCTACCCATAATTCAATGTTCATAAAAATACTTTCAGTACTTTTGGCATTATCACTGGATCCAATTTATGTGTTAAATTAGTTATATTGTCAGACTATTTGTTGCCATAGCAACCAAATTTTTCAACATAGGAAAAAATAGAAAAAGACATGCAATTAATTATCTTCAGACTGCCATCTTACCCTATATCAAGTTTCATAAAAATATTTTCAATACTTTTTGTGTTATCTCAGGATTCAGTTTTGTGAACGGACTGCAGACGGACGGACAGACAGACGGAGGGAGAGCAAACCTCAAGTCCCCTCTAGTTAAACTGGTAGGGGACTAACAAATGATTATTGAATGCTTAAAGGGTACTATTAGCTTTGGATTGTTTGGGTAACCTTATAACACCTCATTACTGCATGGTCATGCTGTGTTGTAATTTACTCCGAGTTGACCATCAAAGCACTTTAACCTTAATAATTACCTGTGGATTGAAAATTGATCCATAAGTTGAATAAAAAATCAAACATTAAGGAATTGTTACTTTAATAACAAGGAGCTACATGAAAGAGATCATTTCTAGTTTAGATTCTACAGTAAAACCTTAAATGAGCCGTGTCATGACAAAACCAACATAATGGGTTTGCGACCAGCATGGATCCAGACCAGCCTGCGCATCCGCGCAGTATGATCAGTGCCTGCTGCACAGTAAATGGGCCAATTTTGTTAGCATCTAAGTCAAAAAATAAAGTTAAACATACAAGACAATATTGGCTCTTGTTAAGTACCTTAGGGTGTCTATAACAATATTTTTGGAAAGAAAGGATAACTTTTAGGATACCTTTTTCAAAATATTACATCTCTTGCAGACTGTGTGGGTATGGGACGGATGTTACAAAGATATACTAAAAGTCTGAATGTCTTACAGTTTATAATAAAAATTGTATTATTTCTCTTTATTTTATTAATTTAAAAATATTATGTGTTCTGATTAATGTTACAAAAAAAATCCAGAAAATTCATCTTAGATATAAAAATATTTGCTTTCAAATTTTGAGTATTTTTCACACAAAATGAAATTTTCAAACATGTTAGAAACAGAGAGAAATAAAACAAGGATAGGTACACCAAATCATATTTAAATCAAAAATGCAAACACATTTCTTATAAACCAGTAGAAATTATAGGACTTTCTTTTGTATATTTCTTGTCAGATAACCCAAAAATGAATTGTATCAGGGGGACGGATGTTACATTTTTGGGGGGACGGATGTTTACTATAGATGTTTCAAGCTCATAGTTCATACTCTTTTTTTGTTTTATTTTAATGTAATATAATTTATAAAAGTATATGCTTTGTACAGTACAATAAATGTAAAATAATTGAATAAATTATGAGAAAAATGTAGAAATATACCCAACAATTATGGAGTTTCTTACTATTTGCGTTTCACAATTTATCTTACATTTGAATGAACATTTAAATGTTTGAAATAAAAATAAAAACATTGCTTAAATTAAATAAAAGAATCTTTGTTTCCAGATAATGCATTAACGTTAAAGAGAGAATGTCATATCAACGTTTCCTTTCTATACATGAAATTATTTACAAAATACTTAAGTTAAATAATAAGATTTATATTTGTAAAAGATATGATACAGTGTGAAGTAAATAAGTTTTCAGAATGAAACGTATGCAAGCTTATTGAAGCTTATAGAATTTCTCATTACTAAATACATAAATTATACACAATTAATAATTTTCATTAAAAATTATAAGATTTTAAATTGCTGCAATTAAGTTCTATCGATTTGATGAAATTTTAAGTAAATTAATGTGGAATGTTTAGCAGCATTATCAAAAGATTTCATTATGATTCAGTATCATAATCTCATTATTTCTAACTTTTAATAATTCTCTGTGTATATATTTCAGTGTACATGAACTGCTTAAATTAACTTAATGAACTAATTTGTCATTCAATAAAATTTATAGGTGCAAAATAATTTGCGAAGGGTTTATTTACAGAATAATTTTCACAATTTATGATTCCAACTTTTTCATTACAGGAATCCTTACCTTATCCTTTACTTACAAGTTTCTTTCACTTTATTAATTAACAATAATTAAATGGGTCAAATTGTATGAAAATGGTAATCCCCCCCCCACTGTTTTTAAGCATAATATATATCACCCTAAGGGCTTAATTGGCACCCCTACTGTTTTGTAATATATCACACTTCCAAATATACAATCTACGCAGCTCCCGGCAACATACAGCTCATAAACTTCCAATAAAGTGTCAGCCCCTTCTGTGTGTATAGAGTTAGGATCCATATCCCACTGTTTTATGAGGGGCTGGGATACATGGTTTGTTGGTTTGTTAACTATTTAAGGCTAAAGAATTTATGTTTTAACAATTGACCAATTTTAATCACAAATATACTTTTAACATCTCTATTGTTTGCACCTCTTTCTATATAACTATCCTGTTATGGATTTTGTGTTTGTTTCTTCTATTTTTTTTAAATGGTATTTTATTTGTTGTGTGAAACATTCCTATACAGTTGCAAAGCTTACTACTTCTCTATCATGCATCATAAGAACAAGATAAGTTTCGTACTACTGTAAAAAGAATTTTTAGTTCAATTCTGTAACATCGGTCCCCTTCTGTACCCTTAGTTTATAAACACAGAATAACAAAAGATTATATTTGTTATAAATTCATATAAACTTAAATATTATCTTAATAAACTCATAGGTCCACTTGATGTTAAAAAAAAAAAAAAAAAATATTTCAAATTAAATAATTTTTTTTCAGAGCAAAAAATACTGATTTTTTTTTCAAAATTTAGGAATTTAGTGTTCACAAATACTTTTTTTTTATAAATACATCATTTCAGTGCTTTATTTCTGTTACTTCTTCATTTTTCATTGTAACTTTTGTGCTTTAGTGTAAAATTTGCTTTTATAGTGTAAAACCAGAGAGTTCATGAACTGATCATCAACATTAGAGTTGGCAAACAAAAGTACAGTGAGGAAAATAATGCAAGGAAACCTAATACTCGCTTACTCAAGTTACTGGTGTCAATATTGAAATTCTTTAACACTGTTTCACACAAAATATTCCCTAATTTTTTTTAGTACTTAAAGATGGTTCAAGCAAATTGCTTCAAAAATTATACATACCTTGAGTCCCACTCCCATCCATAAAATCTCTTCAATTATTGATCTTTACTGACATATTTTTTGTATTTCAGTCTGAATCCCTGTTTTGAAGTCATAGCTGTCTGTCACTGAAGTATTTACTGTGATAAGACTATAAGACATTTGAGCCACTACATCTTTCTGAAAAATTAAGGCCAGTAGATCTATATCTAAATAAAAGGGGAAACGGACAAAAGCCCTCCCGGACAAAAGCCCTCCCGTCAAAAAATGACAAGGCGGACAAAAGCCCTCCTGTGAAAATGACAGGGCAGACAAAAGCCCTCCCGTGAAAATAACAGAGCGGACAAAAGCCCTCCCATAAAAATGGCTGGGCGGACAAAAGCCCTCCCGTGAAAATAACAAAGTCACTTTTAAAAGTATTTGAGTCATTACAATGCACATTATAAATGTCTTTACTTTTTAAGTTAGATGATTTTAACTTCTTTTCATCATTTATTACTCTATTAATATTAACTTCACATAGGAGTAATCCTTCATATCTATGTGAATAAATATGCACTTACAGATTTTATAGCACTAATTATTCAGATGCCTCTCAGGGATGTGGTCAAGCCCATACCATACAAACACGGTTATGCCAATGGAAAACAAAAATATTCGTGATTACAATTTTAATATGTTGAGTGCATTGAAAAGAAAATATAAACTATTCAACGTACATATATGTATTTGCTGTGAGAGGGCTTTTGTCAGCCCTATTATTTTCACGGGAGGGCTTTTGTCCGCCCTGTCATTTTTACAGGAGGGCTTTTGTCCGCCCTGTCATTTTCAAGGGTGGGCTTTTGTCCGCCTTGTCATTTTCACGGAAGGGCTTTTGTCCGCCTTGTCACTTTTTAACGGGAGGGCTTTTGTCCGGGAGGGCTTTTGTCCTACACTCAAATAAAAGTATTAAAAAAAGAACAATATTACAAAAAAAATGGATTCGTTTTAATTTAAATATTTTGATATTAGATCTATATTGCAATTTTTCTTTAGGGATTCTTATTTCACTCTATTTCATGAATAACAAGATTAAACATATTTTAGGTAAAATCAATGGAAAAACTCACCAATTCTATCTATAAAAAAATCTAGATTTCTACTTGAAAATAATTGACAAAATAAAAAATTTATCAGAATCTATATATATGTACAGTAGTTAGTAAATTTACTCACCTAGTCTTTAAGAAACAACCAGCAAGTCTACAGCACCTCTTGTAAGATCACATTAAATTTTATTTACCCGTTTAAACCTCAGCTTTGCGTGTCTTTAAACTACACAGGCACACGCTTGAAGTTCAAAGAGTTTCAGCGGCAACGGACAAATCTTTACGCTTACACGGGGGAGTCAGGTACTCCGTATGCAAGACACAATTTTCGTGACAGCAGTTTCGTTTATCTGTGACTTAAAATATCTTTTGTCCCAGGTTTTATAGAATAATTAAATTATCCTTTCCATCAATTATGAATAATTGAAATGTTGATTCATCAGAAATATCATTAAAACGTTTACACACTGTCATCGGACTGGACACCCCTTCAATGGCGTGAAAATGAAGTCGTCTAATTTTGCGTCATCAACTGCGTTGACCCCGTTGTGTGATTACCTCTGTGTATTCGGTCACCAAAAAAAGATTATGTGTCGGAGAAAACAAACTTCAAAAGGGATATTTGTGATGTGGAAGGGGAAATGAACGAACACGGATACATTTTGTAGCTTTTGGTGAGTTTTTTTTTGTTAGAATCTAGTCTACAGTACTGAGTACAGTACAGTACTGTACAGTAACTAAGAAAAATCACAGGCAAAAGTATCGGACCTGGGAAGAAACAATATGACCAGATTGATAAAAAAACCTGTGTTCATCTTAAAAGTGTCAAAAAAAACAAAACAAAAATGTATATAATGACCCCCTTTAAAAATATACTATAACTCTTAACTTATAGTATATTTTTAAAGGGGGTCATTATATACATTTTTTTTTTGTTTTTTTTGACACTTTTAAGATGAACACAGGTTTTTTTTATCAATCTGGTCATATTTTTTCTTCCCAAGTCCGATACTTTTGCCTGTGAGAAAAATCAGGCTGGAAATGAAGAACTTAACTAACTTTTAAGACTTTATAATTTATTGAAACTGGTTCTTGAAAATTTTCTTACTTTGAAATATCTGGGTAGATTTTGCTTATATTTCTCCAAGTCAGTAAAATCTGTGTCAAAATATTTTCAAAGTGCAAATATTCCTGCCTCCACCAAAATGAAGACGATGTCAGGGTACTGTAGAAAAAACTTGAATTACCATGTGAGATTTCTTGAAAATTCAGGGTCCATGTCTATTTCACCCTGATTTTGCCAATTCTGGTTCAAAACAGGCCTGAATCGGTCCTGCTTTTCATAAAAGCCATGCTGATTTTTCGTATAGGTAGTGACGGTCCGCCCTGTCCCAAAATATGGTCCGCCTAGTCTCGAGTCACGGTCCGCCCTGTCTCACGGTCTGCCCTAGCTAAAGATACTTCAACGAACAGGTATTATATAGTATTGCTGCCTGTACGAAATGTTACGCCCAGAATTGGGGCGGAATTTCGGCACGTATTACGCCCAGAAAGTTAAAATTCCTTTAAAATTTTCAGTATATGATAAGGGTTCATTTTACGGGCGGATTCTGGGCGGAAATGGCACGGAATTTGGCACGAAATATGTAAATGAGCAGGAATAAATTCCGTGCGGAATTTTAGGCACGGAACTCTTGGCACGGATTCTGGGTGGAAATGGCACGGAATTTGGCACGAAATATGTAAATGAGCAGGAAAAATGTCCGTGCGGAAAACTGGCACGGAATCTGAGCACGGAATCTTGGCACGGAATTTTGGCATGGAATAATCAGAGCAAAATTCCATAAACAGTTGTTTTTTTATTATATTTAATTTAATTAATGATGACCATTTCGTCATGTACTTTGGACCATTGATAATTAAATGACTGGCTAAACAATTGTATTTACACTATCTTAATTAAAGATATGCATCTAAAATTATAGTTTATATGTAATAATTAATTCAATATTCATGTAGTAAACTTCTCTATAAGCTTATGAGTAAACATACATGTATGTTTATATGATTATTCTCTTAAAATCACATCTAATTGTATTTCAATAATCCAAGTTAAGATATGAAAATTATCACAGTTTGTTTTTCTTCACAAATAAAAGATATCCTTTTTGTCTAGATACAGAATACATCCTACATAAACTTCAAGTGTCACAAACAGCTTTTTAATTGTGCAAGTATCTGTACATGACTTTTGTAGGTACTGCTGCTTTCTTTGATCACCTTGATTTCAACTATTATGTTGTCTGTCACAAACCAAAACTTTCTTTCAAACTGATTATCAAAACCACAATTTTTCCTCATTATGTCAGCTAACGTCCTGTGCAAGTGTTTCCTAGTGGCACATCTTGTAGTTGCATTCACCTTTAAGGACAAAAATTACAATTGATTTAAAAAGAATGGAAACAAATTCTGTTCTATGGTAAAATATAATTGTGTTCCATTATAATATTTCATCTGGGATGTTAAAACACTGTACTCAAGCAAATGCAGTTTTAAAAATACTATAGCAACATCATTTCATAGTAAGCAAATGATGTAAAAAAAATGCCCATTATGAGTGCTTTAGTAATTACACTTTTGATGTCAAAATTGATAATCTTTACATTATCTGGGAAACAATTGTACTCTAAAAATGGTTTCTGGGAAACAATTGTACTCTAAAAATGGTTTCTGGGAAACAATTGTACTCTAAAAATGGTTTGTTCAGATATTTAAAAATACATGTAATTACCTTTTCAGACTCCAAGGTAGTGAAATATTGCTGATACTATAAACACTAAGTTGGCAAATTTTCACAGTCTGCAATGGCCCAGTCTGCAATTATATATTCTCATAATTTAATTTTTTTTTATTGTATGTATATCATAACATGTGAGATCTTATAGAAATTTAGCACTGTAAAACATAAGCTCAGAGGTCAGTCTATGGACCATGACCTTTAAACAAATAATTTTGGTAATACATGCATGTACATCTAGATTTAATAATCAGATAATTATTCACAGCATGGAAATGTAGTTTGAATAATAGTTTTATCAACATTACTTTATAGTTATCAACCTTATTTTATAGAAACAATTTTTGCTTACTGCCACAATATATTTTGATTGTTTATAATAACCTTTTTTTGCATAAATGTATCTAAAAGTTGTTTACCTGAAACTTTTTACTATGATTCTTTTGTATAATCTTCCTCCCTCAGTTCACTCTTAGTTCATTTACAACAACCAAACATTTCCACAATCTTGTCACATTTAGATAAATGTTTTCTTTGAAAATTCCAAAATATGTACACAACATTCAAAAACAAGATGTAATCTCCAAATTTTTGCAAGATCCTTTGTGGTGGCATTCAATAAGCAGCTGACCCATATATCTGAGATTTCAAATTGTTCAACAGTTTAACTGGACGGACAGGTCCATCATTATGTGAAACAGGGATTATCCAAAATTATCAAAACAGTCCCACCATCTTATTTTTACATTTATTGAGTGTAAAAACATATCAAATGATAAGTAAATGTAGAATTTGAAAATCATAATAAGTTTTTGAAAGAGAATCAAAGTGTCAGTTACCTTCTTAACTGATTGTTTTGAAATGTATACTGCTCAGACTACCTTAATAATCACATGGAACAGTCTGGTCAGTATACCAGAATGCCCCATCAGGAATTAGTCATGCATCAGATAGAGGGAAACACAAGTGTTTATCATTAGTCTTATCTGATCTTAACCTTAATGTCTGTAGTATTTATTTATCCTGACTTGTAAGAAATTATCAAGCACACAGTGGTTATTATATTTAACACATTAATTGTGCATGTATATAATGGGCAATAATGATTATATATGTGTTTATTGTACACAATCATAAACTAAAAGGCAATAATTAATATACTAGTATAAGTGTTTATTGTAACATAATAAAATAAGTGGCAGAGTAAAGTGTAAATAATCTAGATGTATGTCTACAAATTTCCAAACAAACTTGCTAGTAGATTATGTACTATTTTATATGGCATTTAAAACATAAATTAAAGTTTAAAATATCATTCTTAAATTATTTAACAATTAATTGCTTTAATGCTACCAAGAAATTAAAAATCTATAGATACACACTGCAGGGATGAATTACTCATGTATTTAGATATGTAGTAATTTAATTAAATAGCATACAATTTACATTTTACTTCAGTATCTTTAGTAATTTAATAAGCTATTTGATATAGAAAATTAAATAAAATTTTGCATTAGATTTTAGCTCTTTTGAAAATTCAATAATAATGTTTGACAAAATCTGTTTAAATAACAGATATAAATAACACTTCGATTATTTCACCAATTATCTTTTAATTGTTGAATTTCCATTCTTGTGTACTGATTTAATGAAGTATTCAGTGAAAATTTCCAAACAAAAAATTCTAAGTGTAAAAAAATTCAACCTCAAATTACTAAGATTGAAATTTTGCCCAACAGAAAAATCAAAGTTCTGAATTCCGCCCCATTCTATCTCAAGAAAAAGTTAAGTTTGAAATTCCATCCAAGATAAAATGTACAAGTACAAAATTCCGCCCGTAATAAAATTCCGCCCAGAATGGTTCTTGTTTTACGCCCAGAAATGATTTCCGTGTGGGGCGGACTGACACGGAATTTGCTTTTCCGTGCTTAGTCCGCCCAGAAAGCAATGATTCCATCCCAATTCCGTGCCATTTACGCCCAGAATCCGTGCCAAAATTTCGTACAGGTAGACCTGTTTACTGTCGCAACGTCAAAATAAAAGCGACATATAAAGTTATGGAAGCCAGAACTAGGTCTGCCCTGTCCTGCAGGCCTGCCGCCCCCCCCCCCAGCCCAACAAATTGTGCGCTTTAGGGCTTTTTCTTATATAGGTGATGGTCGCCCTTGACACATCTATGAAATTTCAGATTATAAAATCGGTCTGTCTTGCAGTCGAAATATTGAGACTACCCCCCCATCCTTCCCTAACATTTCAACATTTCTATATAGCCTAGCTATTCATAACAACAACAACATGACACTATTACACAATTTCATTACACCAATTTTTAAGTACACCAGTTTGATCTACATTTCAATAGAGGTATAATGAAAGTTGCCTAGTAGAATCTAGTGTCAGTTTATTGATACTAGATTCTAAATGGCATTTACAAGCTCCTGCCTCAGTCCTTCTCGTAAATACCAGCAGACAAGTGGACTTTTTTATCCCTGGCAGTCATCGAATTTAGCACTGGCCCGGTGGCCCATGGCCAGTGAAAATTTGTTAGGGCCAGTCTGAGTGTAAATATTAGAGAAAATGTAGTTAAATATTAGTAGGATGAATTCAAATCTAGAATTCGGGCCAGTAAATTCAAAACTATAAATTCAATGACTGCCCTGGACATAAGAAGATTACCGTTTATGAAAGAATTAAGTTGAAATAGATTTATTAATTATAAAAGAAACATGCATTTATTGTTGATAAAAAAAGCATCTGATATTAGATCAACTACCTGGAAAAAGAAAAAAAAACTAAATCAAACTAATTCAGGGCTGTCTGGGTTTGGTTGTATAGGCCAGTAAAAGTAAAGATACACCTAGAACTAATTGCAAAAGAATTCTTATCAACACCTCACTGAAGAACTTAAAGAATCTTAAGTGCTTACCATAAAAAGTCCCGAAATTTTGCGTTTGCAATTAAAAAGATAAAATCGGTTTTATGTAATGATTTTTTCCGTTTTAAAACTTGCTCTGACTACGCTACTATACCAGTAGTTCTAGGTTGACCCCCAAATTAGGGTATATTGACTAGACTAGTAGTCTGGTTTTAGTTGTCCCCAACCATACACAGATATTGACCTTTCATTCAGGTGTTTTAGATTTTGTTTTAATTTTAACAATAATGTTTTAATCTTCAGACTCATAATGACCTTTTAGGTTTATACACTTTTGATACATGTAGTTTATTTATTTATAAATGTGCCTCACAATTATAGATTTCTACTGATTTCTCCCAGATCCAGATTTATCACCCCAAAAATGTTTCACTTTAAAAGTGGAAAATGTTTAAAACTGATTTTTCCCCTTGATAGGGATGAACAACAGCTCAAGATATACAGCCTAATTTGTTAAATTAAATTCATCCCAAAACTCAATTAATTGAAATCTCAATCTTCAATATGCTTCTAATGCTTCACAGACCACTGGTGTCACAAGTTTATTCAACCAAAATTTTGATAAAAAATAAATAATTATATAAATGAATGATTACTTTTTGCTATTTAAATTGATTATTTGATTGCAAATAATGAGGTTGATGTGTACTAAAATTGTCCAAATTATGTTCAGAAAATAAAGTGATGATGGGGACTGCCACCCTCGATCAAAACCCCCTAACAGAAGGGGGCACATACCCCTTCTGGCAACCCCCTAATGTATCTTTTGGATCAGGGGGGTGGGTGGCGCCGAAAAAGTGGTCACTTTTTTAAACAGTATTTCTCAAACAAAACAAGTGTTTGGGCCCTAAATAAGGCATTTTTTTCACCATTTGAGACAACAAAAGGGTGGGGGGGGGGCTTAGAATAGAAAGGTGTATATATCTGGTAATGGGTTAAATTATAGCTGCCATTTTTTTCAAATACATTGTACGCATGTATGTCTGACTGTGCCCTAATGGTTCTAATGGATGACAATTGACATAGAAAATTTTACTGACTTGACTTAAATTCTATTACACTATAATATAAAGCATATTATATTCTGAGTAATACAAAAAACATGTACATGTAGTTAGAATATCAAGCTTATGTGGAAACTGTAACAGCTAGTTTAATTGCTTAGAAATCTTTTGCCCTTAGGGTCAAAGTTGAAAATTCCCTACAAGAAATCGTAAATTGAAAGGTAAAAAAAATCAGTAATGGCAGAGCTTTTCCATATTGTTAAGTGATATGTGATGAAAAAACAAATCTAACCACATGACCCATATTGCCATATTCGTACCCAGTATATTGTTTACTCCTGAACATTTATATAATTTATGTACTATGAGTTTTCTAATATTCAAATAGGAAAACAAGTTGACTCATTAGATTTAAGTGTCTTATTGTTTGTAAAACATGGTTTAAAAGTGTATATTATGCATAGTACTAATGTCTCCCTGGATTAGAAAATTCACCACGAATGCTTGGTACATATTATGTTAAATTCTCAATTTGAGTGCATGTGATACATTTTTCCCCCATTTGTTTTGTACTGGCACCATTAAGAAACTAGGGGGGGGGGGGAATGATGACACTGGGACCAGTGACTTTTCATAGCAATCAGTGACAGCCATAGCAATCTGTGACTTTACAAAGCAACCAATGACTCCCATAGCAACCATTTACTTTCCATAGCAACTAGTGATATTTCATACCAGTTGGAGACTGCCATAGCAACCATGACTGTCCATGATGAAATTTACTTCCCTTAATAACCAGTAATTTTCTGGAAGTTCCATATTACCATTGAAATAAATTTCTTAAGTACATACATTGTACCTATGATCTCTACCAGCATCAACTTAATTCTTAGTAACCAGTGGAATCCATAGCAACCAGTGTCTTATCTTCCAATTTAAGCAAACTTTATCTTTCCATAGCAACTGTTGACTTTTCTTTTCATATCAGTTACAGACTTTCCATAAGAACCATTGACTTCCATAGCAAAATTTGATTTTCTATAGTAACCAGTACCATTGACTTTCATAGCAACCTGCTGGCCAGCAGGAATCGAAGGTCACTGCCGCCTTTACTACCAGTAAAGAGCCAGGCTTTATTGTTAGCTGACCAAATTGATAATGAAAGTTTTATAAATGAAAGCTAGACAATGTCTATTTCAGAAATTTATCAGGTTTAGCATTTATCTGTATTTATTTACCCTAAAACTTATTATTTTCCTAAAATTTAAATTTATACTATAACACAATTGAATATGTTTGTAATGGTACAACAGTTAAAAAATAGTTGCTTAAAATTTCAGGTTCCAAGCCTGTAAACTGAGCCAAGCAAAATAGATATGTGATGGAGGAGACTGGTGATTACAAACTAATCAAAAGAAGAATATGTAAGTGAATTGACTATTGAGTACAAAGTTGTTGTGGTGTTTAAGGGATTTTAGGGTTTTAACTTCTGCATGAATGATAGGAATTCAAAATGAATTGGTTAATGCAGCTACCATTAGTAGATGATGTATTGCGTGCTATTCTTAAGTCCCTCGATCAAAGTTATAGCAGTGAATTAAAGTGTATTCATGCATTATGTCAGGCATGAGCAGGTACCTGAGTAGATAAACCAACATTCTGTAAGATGTTTGATTTATGTAGTTTCCTCACATGAAAGTACACAGAGTCGTCAGTGGGAGTTGCAAGTGATTTGAAGTCAACTTATCTAAGCCAAGCACACCCCATTGTCTGCTTATCTGAACTCTGTTCTTTGAATTGAATATTCATCAAATATCTGATATTGGTTGAGACAGTATTGTTCCAGTTACTACAGCATTCCTTTGGACCACATTAAATATGCATTTGTTAATTGTTATAATGTAAATATTACCATTATTTCAGGTCATATCTTGGATAAAAGTGGTTACCTTCAACAACTAGATATATTGGTTACAGTTAAATTAAGTAAGTACTTGTACAATATCTACAAAATGTGCTAAAATGATACTTTAGACAGTACTTTACCAAATACAATTCTCTTTGCCTGTTTTGTTCATCAACCATTTGAAACTCTTTAGTAATCACAGTCCTCTTGTCTTGAGGAAATTTAAAGATCAATTACCCTTTTATATATCACCTCTAAAGAGAGCATATATTTTGTTAAGTAAAAATGGCTTGGCCCTATAAAGAAATTTGTGAATGATTCTTGTCTTTCACCTTAAACTTACTCAAAAAATAATGATGCTATATAAACATTTAAATGTATGATATGGACTATAGTTAATATGCAATTGTAGACATAAATAATTATTATTCTTAAGTTTAGTTAGTAAATTTGTTGAATAATTTGGCCTCTAAATAAATGTCTGTCTTTTAAAGGCAATTGCATATCTTAATCAATGTCACAGTATATAAATTGAATATGAAGTACTGTATTCATCAAATTGTGAAATATAAAAAAAGTAAAATAGTTTTTTTTTGTTTATTTTCAGATATTGTTGTTAAGAAGATTTTCCCTATTCATCATAGAGGAACAGAAACATGTTTGGGTGGAACATGTGCTTAAACTTTGCATAAGTTTTGTTGAAACTTCCATTTGATACTGAAGATGGTTGTTGAATATTGTTTGTTAACTATATCTATATGGCTTTAAAGAGAGATGTTGACAGGTGCAATTTTAGTGCAAAAAGTGCATGTGTTACATGTTGAATGAACAAACAATAGTATGCAGTAAAACACCAAGAATCATTATGTTTTCATAACATTTTAACAACTAAATAAATGGGTCGGAATGTCCATCTATCCATCCATCAAAAGCAGATATCTACATGTTTGTGAAACTTAATACATTAAAGATGGATATATCTCATTGGGGAGAAATGATGTGTTGAATTTGTATGCCCCCCCTTTGAAGGAGGGGGGGGGTATATTGTTTTGCTAATGTCAGTCCGTCGGTAGACCACATGGTTTCCACTTATTATCTTGAAAAATATTTATCATATAGTCTTAATATTTCACATAATGATTGGTCATAACTAGTAGATGACCCATATTGATTTTGGGTTCACTAGGTCAAAGGTCAAGGTCACAGGAGCCTTAAATGTCAGAATAGTTTCCGCTGATTTTCTTGAAAATAATTCATCATAAAGTCTTCATATTTCACATATTAATTGGTCATATCAAGTAGATGACCCCTATCGTTTTTGGGGTCACTAGGTCAAGGTCACAGGGGCCTTAAATGTCAAAATGGTGTCGCTGATTATCTTGTAAAGTATTCATCACAAAGTCGTCATACTTCACATAGTGATTGGTCGTTATAGTAGATGACTTCTATTGATTTTGAAGTCACTAGGTCAAAGTCAAGGTCACAGAGGCCTTAAATGTCAGAAGGGTTTCTGCTGATTATCTTGAAAAGAATTCATCACATAGTCTTCATATTTCACATATTGATTGGTTATAACTAGTAGATGACCCCTATTGATTTTTGGGTCATAACGTCAAAGGTCAAGGTCACAGGGGCCTCAAATGTCAGAATGGCTTCTGCTCATTATCTTTGTTATAATTCATCACAAAGTCTTCATATGTCACATATTAATTGGTCGTAACTAGTAGATGACCCCTATTGATTTTTGGGTCACTAAGTAAAATGTCAAGGTCACAGGGGCCTTGAATGGTTATATGATTTCCACTTATTATTATGGTTACTACTTATTACAAAGTCTTCATATTTCACATATTGAGTCTCTGATTTTCACGCTCTTGTTAATCTTCGGCGATATCTGTGCCTTGTTGCTTACATTGCTGACATTAATTTTCATCGGAGTAATAGTTGTGTAGAAAAGTGTGTAATAATAACTGACTAAGTGAATAAATAATTATTGCTTCTTATATAAGTAGAAAATGCTTAGTCTTTTTTGTTGATGTACCTCCGGGAATTCAATAAGGCGGAACTAAATATTTTTACTCTTGGTTATATAGTAGGTGGCCAAACATTAAGCTAGTAGCATTTCATCAAACATTTAAACAACCCTTGATTTCATGAAACTTTGAAAACTGTTTTGTCTTGTAACATGTAAGAAAGCCTTTTTTTTTAATTTCAAGTCTGCCAAATGTTAGTAAGTATTCTTGTTCTGTTTGATCAAACCTAGTTAAATGTTGTAGTTTTTTTTGTTTTTTTTTTTTCAAAAACATCATTGCAAGTTTTTCAGTCAATTTTTAAAGTCTGTAAAATGCCATTACATTTTTAATTGTAGAAGACTAACTTATACTGTACATATGTTAGAAAAATTGTAGATGTGTTAGAATTATATTTATATATCTGTAAATTTGTTTTAATGCTTTAGACTGTAAGAATATAATTCTTCTTTCATTTTGTCAAATGTTCTCTGCTGTAACATTTTGAATGAAAACTTGTATTTAAATGCTTCAATCTATTGTCAGTAAATCTTTTTTTCGGGCATATTATGTTATACCCCATGGCATCCTTCTGTCTGTCTGTCCGTCCGTCCGTTAGCAATTTGGTTGCCGGAGCATGACCTAAGTTCCATTCAGCCCAAAATATTCAAACTTCATAGGATGATTGTCCATATTGTTTAAAAGACCCCTATTGATTTTGGGGTCACAAGGTGAAGGTCACTATTGCCTAACACTGAAAACAGTTTCCAGAGCATACCTTAAGTTCCATTTGGCCCACAATAAACAAACTTCATAGGATGATTGTCCATACTAGGTAGAAGACCCCTATTGATTTTGAGGTCAAAGGTCACTATGACTTTGACACTGAAAACAGTTTCCGAAGCATAACTTAAGTTCCATTTGGCCAACAATATTCAAACTTCATAGGATAATTGTCCATATTGAATTAAAGACCCCTATTGATTTTGGGGTCGCAAGGTCAAAGGTCAAGGTCACTATTACCTAACACTGAAAACAGTTTCCGGAGCATAACTTAAGTTCAATTTGGCCCACAATATACAAACTTTATAGGATGATTGTCCATATTGGGTATAAGACCCCTATTGATTTTGAGGTCACCAGGTCAAAGGTCAATGTCACTATGACCTTGACACTGAAAACATTTTCAGAGCATAACTTAAGTTCCATTTGGCCCACAATAAACAAACTTCATAGGATGATTGTCCATATTTGGTAGAAGACCCATATTGATTTTGGGGTCAAAGGTCAAGGTCACTATTAGCTTAACACTGAAAACAGTTTCCAGAGCATAACTTAAGTTCCATTTGGCCAACAATATTCAAACTTCATAGGATGATTGTCAATATTGGGAAGAAGACCCCTATTGATTTTGGTGTCACAAGGTCAAAGGTCAAGGTCACTATTACCTTGACACTGAAATTTTTTTTCGGAGCATAACTACAGTTCCATTTGGCCCACAATACTCAAACATATAGGATGATTGTTCATATTGAGTAGAAGACCCCTATTGATTTTTTGGTCACAAGAAAAGGTCAAGGTCACTATTATCTTAAAACTGAAAACAGTTTCCAGAGCTTAGCTTATGTTCCTTTTTGGCCCACAATGTTCAAACTTCATAGGATGATTGTCCATATTGAGTAGAACACCCCTATTGATTTTGGGGTCACAAGGTCAAAAGTCAAGGTCACTATTACCTTAAAACTGAAAACAGTTTCCAGAGCTTAACTTATGTTCCTTTTGGCCCACAATATTCAAACTTCATAGGATGATTGTCCATATTGAGTAGAACACCCCTATTGATTTTGGGGTCACAAGGTCAAAAGTCAAGGTCACTATTATCTTAAAACTGAAAACAGTTTCTGGAGCATAACTAAAGTTCCATTTCGCCCACAGTGTTCAAACTTCATTGGATGATTGTCAGTATTGTGTAGAAGACCCCTAAAAATTTTGGGTCACAAGGTCAAGGTCACTGAAAATGGTTTTCGCTCAATAACTTGAGTATTAATCAACCTACAGCTTATATTGATTACATTAATTATAAATATATGTCCTAAAAAAATTTTGCTTATATCATGTTATATCCCTGGCGTCTTTCTGTCCATCTGTTTAAGTAAAACATTTTAATTCCCATGTCTTACAAATGCTTCATCCTTACTAAAAAAAAAAACACGTTCGGGCATATAATGCTCCAACTAGCGATGCTCTTGTTTTAATTTCCAAAATGTTCGGTGCTGTAACATTTTGAATGAAAACTTGTATTTAATGGTTCTATCGATTGTCGGTAAATCTTTTTTTTTAACTTGTTAATTGTTTTACGTCCAAACATTTTGAATTAAAACACTGATTTACAATAATTCATTTCTTTTTGCCTTTGTTTCTAATTTTGCGAAAGTGCTGAACATTTTTTTTTTCAAAGTCATTAAGTTTTTATGATTTTTAAAACTTATTTGAAATAAAGAAAGTAATTTTTGAAATTTTACAAAATGTTCGGTGCCCTAAATTTTCCATTAGTGAATTCTTTAATGCTTAAAAAAGTCCCTTTTATATATTTTGTACATGGTATATTGTAGTTCTGTAAATTGTTTGGTGCCCTAACTTTTTAAATGAAAACTTGTATTTAAACTTGCTTCAGTCTATTGTTAGTAAATCTTTGTTTTAATTTGCAAAATGTTCGGTGCCCTAACATTTTTAGTAAAAGCATTGATTAAACATTGAAGTCCATCATCAGTAAATCTTTTTTTTTAATTTGCAAAATGTTCGGTGCCCTAACATTTTGAATGAAAACTTGTATTTAATGCTTCGGTCTATTGTCAGTAAATCTTTGTTTTAATTTGGAAATTGTTCGGTGCCCTAACATTTTAAGTTAAAACATTGATGAAACACTTAAGTCTATCGTCAGTATATCATTTTTTAATTTGTAAATTGTTCGGTGCCCGAACATTTTGAATGAAATCTTGTATTTAATGCTTCGGTCTTTTGTCAGTTAATCTTTGTTTTAATTTGGAAATTGTTCGGTGCCCTTACATTTTTAGTTAAAACATTGATTAAACACTTAAGCCCATCGTCAGTAAATCATTTTTTAATTTGTAAATTGTTCGGTGCCCGAACATTTTGAATGAAAACTTGTATTTAATGCTTCGGTCTATTGTCTGTAAATCTTTGTTTTAATTTGGAAATTGTTCGGTGCCCTAACATTTTTAGTTAAAACATTGATTAAACACTTAAGCCCATCGTCAGTAAATCTTTTTTTTATTTTGGAAATTGTTCGGTGCCCGAACATTTTGAATGAAAACTTGTATTCAATGCTTCGGTCTATTGTCAGTTAATCTTTGTTTTAATTTGGAAATTGTTCGGTGCCCTAACATTTTTAGTTAAAACATTGATTTAACAATTAAGTGTATCGTCAGTAAATATTTTTTTAATTTGTAAATTGTTCGGTACCCGAACATTTTGAATGAAAACTTGTATTTAATGCTTCGGTCTATTGTAAGTAAATCTTTGTTTTAATTTGGAAATTGTTCGGTGCCCTAACATTTTTAGTTAAAACATTGATTTAACACTTAAGTCTATCGTCAGTAAATATTTTTTTAATTTGTAAATTGTTCGGTGCCCTAACATTTTGAATGAAAACTTGTATTTAATGTTTCGGTCTTTTGTCAGTTAATCTTTGTTTTAATTTGGAAATTGTTCGGTGCCCTAACATTTTTAGTTAAAACATTGATTAAACACTTAAGTCTATCGTCAGTAAATCATTTTTTAATTTGTAAATTGTTCGGTGCCCGAACATTTTGAATGAAAACTTGTATTTAATGCTTCGGTCTATTGTCAGTAAATCTTTGTTTTAATTTGGAAATTGTTCGGTGCCCTAACATTTTTAGTTAAAACATTGATTAAACACTTAAGTCTATCGTCAGTATATCATTTTTTAATTTGTAAATTGTTCGGTGCCCGAACATTTTGAATGAAAACTTGTATTTAATGCTTCGGTCTATTGTCATTAAATCATTGTTTTAATTTGGAAATTGTTCGGTGCCCTAACATTTTTAGTTAAAACATTGACTAAACACTTGCGTCCATCTTTAGTAAATCTTTTTTTAATTTGCAAAATGTTCGGTGCCCTAACATTTTGAATGAAATCTTGTATTTAATGCTTCGGTTTATTGTCAGTTAATCTTTGTTTTATTTTGGAAATTGTTCGGTGCCCTAACATTTTTAGTTAAAACTTTGATTTGATGATTTAGTCTGGTCAATGAAGTAATTCATTTATTTTTCATTTCACAAAATGTTCGGGCACCGAACATTATGTTGTAGCAGAATAATTGTGGCCAAGAAGTGTTAGATATATAAGAAGTTAATTTAGAAATGTGAATTGTGTATGTAAATATTTGATCTGTTAATAAAAATGCTTTTGATATTTCAATGATTTTAATAAAGAATTGTCCATTTATATAAATTTGCCTTGATTTTTATGTACCAGTTTAACCACTAAAATGACCAAAAGAGCCATAATAAACAGGAATGATTGGACATTCCTCTTTTATATTGTACACTGTTCATTTGGCGCTAAAATGACGTTGTTGTTTGGCACGCGACTCATCTGGCACCCCCTATGCCAGATGAAATTTCCGGCATGGGTAAAACTCACGGAAACGCCAGTCTGCTATGCAAGAATAATTGGTTTGTCTTTCTATTCGTTTGATTTTATTTTGAACCGGTAGGAATAAAAAATTATGCTGTATAGTCACAGTTAGGGGAAAAAGCAACAATCAATTCACTTTTTTACTACGAAAAATATAATCTAGAAAAATTAAAACGATGTTATATGGATATGATAAAATCGATGGTTTGAAATGTAACCCTATATTATGACAGTGAATGACATCTTATAATCAAAAGATTAAAACAATTATAGAAACGGAATATATACAGAGGTGATCTTTCATATGTATTAATGTCTTACCTTCTCTAGTCTCAGAATTTAGAATGTTATCCATAAGTGAGTTGTCTAAAATTGAAACAATTTTTGTGTTAAAAGAAAATGTAATGATTGATGACGATGAGTTATACAATGATAATTTAACTACAAAATACTTTGTTCTTGATTGTGATACAGGGTATAACAGATGACTGATTGTCAACAACAGTCAGTGGACAGCCTGTTCCTCCACTTTTCTCTGTGCGATATTATAAATAATGCAACGTGGGTAAGATTGCTTACTTATGCATAAGTTATTGGCATATTTACCTCCCCTTGATAGTTATTAAGTGTAGTGTTTAATGAATGTCTTTGGCGTTTTCCGATAAAGAAAAAACAAAAGCTTTATGTCAAAACAATGGTACTGATCAAGAGAAAAGGAGTAAAAATTCAAAGGTTATATGTCCTTTTGAAATGCATATTTCAAAGCTGATAGTGAACAAAACATTCGAAAGGTTTAAGTATAAATTGAATATCATTTAATGTTTTTTGGAAAAAGCACAATAAAAAAGTAAGAAAGAAAAGTATAACTGAAACAAAAATAGATTATTATAAAGTATCTTCCCTGTTGAAGTGCATTCCATTTTTATAGTAAAATAACTTGGGACTGATACTATTATACAAATGTATACATTATATATGTTTAAAGTTTCTGAGTTGATAATAAAATATTATTTGTTAAGCCCAATCTTGAAAAAAAATTCTTTTCTCAACAAAAAGAGTTGATAATAAAATATCATTTGTAATGGAATTTTTAAACTTAAATGCAAAAAAAAAATGTTTGACAAGACTTACTTATGATTGAAGCGCCTAACACGTTAACGTACACCGCTGTAAAATAAATAAAAAGTAAGGATAATTAAGTAAATAAAGTACATGTAGGGGTTGACAGTATCAGAATGTTCTAAAGATAAAATTAATGTTCATAATTTAATATTCTGATTTGTTATTTCATAAAAACAGAACAGTCATTGACTTAAATATTGTATCTGCTTAATTCTGAGGTCTTCTTAAAAAATTCAAAACTTTATTGAAATAGTTATTCATCTACTTGAAAAACAATTTAGAAAATAATATTTACCTAACAAAAACAGATGCAATTTTATGATATATCCGTCTCGAGCAGTGAGTTTCATTTTTATTCCAGTTTTATTTGCTAAGATAGTTCATCTCCTTTTTTTTCCTGTTATAAGTTTTTAGAGGAGTGAATGTAATTTCATATGCCGGCCATGGTTATCAATTATTTCGCGTTGAAGTCTTTTATCTTTAGTAAAACGATATCACTTATAAACATTAAAGCAAACTGATCGATTTTGAAAGATTTTAACGAGTATTTGTCTGTTTAAAATTATCGCAGAAATATATCTTATTTAATGTTAATGAGGAGGGTTTGATATCATAAGCATACGCTGTTGTTAAAAAGAAAAGTTTCCATGTTCGAGCTGTTTTTGAAAAAGAGTAATATTATCAACTGGGCAAATAAAAATGTACAGCTCAATCTCTAAAGAACACTAGAGATCGAGCAGTAACCTTTTACAACCGATTTGTTTTACCAAAGTAAGACTTCACAATAGGTTTACTTTCACAAGCTTTTAGAGCAACACCTCTCAGAAACAATCAAGATCTTTTGTCTGCTAAAAGGTGTTACTCTGAAAAGAAAGTACCGTTTTACCCTGCGTGGTAACAAGACGTCTAAAACAAAACGTTTTTACATTTTGTATATGTGCCATTTCATTCTGGTAGATAACGATCAATTTTAGTTTTATAGGACATTGGAATTAATATCTGGATCATTTATTTGATCCTGATTATTTTTGACAGTGAACAAGAAATCTGGTGTTGCTTTGAATATCACAACACTCCAGGTTAGACAGAATCTTTTTTACCGTCTCTGCTCTTTTTGACCTAAATGCTGGTAGTGCACCATTAAACCATAGAAATAAACAAATATTTTTATATCAAAAGTCGCCCTTCAAGGTTGATATTAATATTAAGAGGTATCACATGAAATATGTCTAGACAATTTAGACCATAGATTATGCTAGTTTGTTTTACAGATCCTATCCTTACGTTTAAACAAAAAAATGAGGAGGAGGAGGTTGACATTTGAACAAGGAACAAGAGCTAACCCGTTGGTTGAAATTAATTTTATTCTCATTTAACAAATTTGCAAACGTATAAAAACGATCTGAAAACTGGTTTTGACCCCTGGTTTTGACACCCGAGGTTAGCAAAAGTCTTTCTCTTTTCGGCGCCATATGTCCTAAATTGTTTTAATGTGTTATAAAACCAAATGAATAAACAAACAAACAAAGACTTAGTTCTAATTATAGAGGTATCAGTTGTTTCTTTCAAAATTATTTCTGTAAATAAAATAAATGTTTGTTCATTTATACACATTTTATTTCCATTAACCGAATCTTGTACATGAAGTTAAACAGTGTTAACAGTTCCATGATGAAAGTGATAAACAAATCCAAGCACCTTAAATCTTTAGTAGAATTCTTTTACCCTTTGAGATTTGCTAATTTACCCTAGATAGTGACAAAGTATTGAAATTATGTACGAAGATTCAGAGGGACAAAGCTTCATGTATGTCAACATAATTTGTGCTTTCAAAAAGATAGCTTTAATTCTTTAAATCGAGTAAGAGCTTAACTTACAAACCCACGTGTAATACGATCGTTCCAGAAATACTCTTTGATGTCGGAACTGGAAAATATTTGTAACTGACTTTGTGTTCAGACATCGTCAAACGTATACGTATAAACAAGTGAATAGTTAATAAAACGCTTTGTATGATATCGTAAATTGTGTAGCAGTTGATATGATTGGGTAGAAGTAGCTTTCAACACCATCACAAGCAAAACAACACAGACTTTGAGAATTACTTAATTAATGAGGCACATGATAATATTATCATTATCAACATCATTATCATTATCATTATTATTATTATTTTTATCATTATTATTATTATTATTTTTATTGTTATTATTATGTTTGGTGATGTATTAATGTAAATAGGTTATGGCGAATATTGATAAAGAATAATAACCTATTAGTCTATTGGTCTTAAATCGAAGGTCTGTAATTCAATAAATAATAATGCTGATAGTTCTCGGTATCAAAGGCGGAAAGAAACAGAGAAAATTATATATACAGATGTTGTTGATAAAGGTTATTTTTCTTTAGACACGATATCATATCTCGGTAGTACTAGAACAAAATATCATTACTAATTATATATATGTTCATACTAAATCACTTTAGAACTCTATCAATAATTTTTGTTATCTAGGAATACGTCATAAGAATATCCAAATGATTCATTTCTGAGATATCTTTTTTTAATATCAAAAATCGCTCTACATTCTTTATGTGTATATATTTTCTTTTTTATCAATCTTCTTACTAAATATGGTTAAATCTTCTACATTAACATTGATTCATCCTTTTCATGAACATTGATCAATCTCCAACATGAACATTGTCCAACTTCTACATGAACATTGATCAATCTTCTACTTGAACATTGATCAATCTCCTACATAAACATTAATCAATCTTGTTTGATTGTCAATGTTAATCCAATTTAAAAAGAATTTTATTTTGTCAAAGTTCGATTTCTTTTTCTGTATATAAAATCGTATTTTAATGAAAATAATATAAAAAACAGATTTTTAAATGAACAAACGAGGTTTCATCAAGATAATCCTGGATACCCATGATACGAGATTGTACTATAATGGAAAAGAACTTCTCTGTGAACATACAGGAATAATATTAAACATATATCGCTTTTGTACCGCGTGAATGTCCAAAATATTTCCGGTATTGGAAAATATCAAATATGTTTCATATTGAGCAGATGAGTTTTCGTGACCTCCGTGTATTTCCATGAATAAAATAGTCCGTTAACGATAAAAACATCCAAATATATCTGTACAATGAATTAAAGCTGCGTGCCTCCAGATGAGCGAAAATATTTCAATATTATCAAACCTGAGAAAAATATACTAAGATTTTAGGAAAAGTAAAAATATTCAAGATTCAAGTAATAATTTACATGTTATGTGCGATTAATGACTGATTTTTTAGTATTTATAACTATATTTCTACTGCGTTACTAACGCAGTAAGGGCTATTTTTGCATATTTTGTCCTCTTTTTCGTAATTTACATGGGTGGTAAGTGCCATTGATAATGTGTAAATTGCTTCCTTTTGGTTATTTCACTAAATAATACATTTTCTAAATTTTCATGAAAATTAGCATGAATCTGGAGGCGTGCTGCTTTAAATCATCTTAATAAAATTTAACTGTCAGTCATTATTCTTAAAAGAACATTATGTGTTATCGTCATATTTTAGAGACAAAATTAATGGGTTTCTTGAAACTGTTCTGTACAATACGGGATATATTAGATAGATAGATATTTATTCAGGTTAAAACACACATACATGTATACATAAAACAA